TCACAGTTTGGGAAGCTGTCGAAAGCTAGAGACCCTTCCCCAGATTTATGCAGCTGTGCCCTCCACGTTATTCATTGTTCAGTGTCAAGGCATTCGTGGAACCCTTGAAACTCATCCTCAGAACCCTCAGGGAGTCCATGGACCTCAGGTTAAGAACGTCTGTAATGGGAGAGAAATAATATGCGAGGCGTGGGGAAAAAGAAACAAAAGTAATCTGGTTCTTTCTCCCAAACCAGTTGGTTGAGGATTGAGACACTCTTGTAAGGGGAGGGGCAGTTGGTTTGCTCATTACTGGTTCCATTGGCACTTGGAACGGACTGTACCAGCTATGATGGGGTAATGATTCAGGTGACACCTTTGGCTTCCGAAGCCAAAATAGGCAGTTGAACAGGTTTTTCTTCAGCCCACGGAAGAGGCCAAATAGATGTTGTTCTCCTTGCTGATGGGAAGGGAGAGGATGTGTCTGTATTTAAATTTTCCTCACCTCATAAAATGTTATTTCCAATTAATGGGGAAAGGATAGTGTCGCCAACTGGCAAGCCACAGCCATCAAAATTAGACTTGATCTCTTATTCCTTCTATCCAAATAAACTTCAAGTATATAAGAAGTAAAACTTACTAAGTATAAGAAGTACAACTTATTTTTTAAGAAGTAAAACTTATTAAAGATCTAGAAGAAGACATAGAAGAAAATTTTTAAGTAATTTTTAAATGGAGACGGCATTTCTAAGCAAGACATAAAACCCAGAAGCCACAAAAGGGAACAATGAATTTCACTGCATAAGAATTTAAAATTCTGGGGTGCCTGGGTGGCTCAGTCATTTAAGCATCTGACTCCTGATTTTAGCTCAGGTCACAATCTGAAGGTTACTGAGATTGAGCCACCCCTGCGCTGACACCACAGAGCCTACCTGAGATTTTCTCTCTCCCTCTCTTTCTGCCCCACGCCCTCCCTCGGTAAATAAACATTAAAAAAAAAAAAAAAAAAAAAAGTGTTTTTCTTCCATTACCAGATGCAAATCAGCACTTTTTTTTTAATTCCTATGTGGAAAACAAACATCATAAAGTTAAAAAGAAAAAGAAAGAAAGCAACAAACCAGATGGGGTAAAATCAGTATACATAACAGTGTGTCCTTAATATATGAAGGGCTCTAGGGGGTTCCTCAGTCATTTAAGCGTCTGACTTTGGCTCAGATCATGATCTCACAGTTTGTGAGTTCGAGCCCCTCATTGGGCTCTACTCTGACAGTTCAGAGCCTGGAGCCTACTTCAAATTCTGTGTCTCCCTGTCACCCTCTCTGCCTCTCCCCTGCTTGTGCTCTGTCTCTCTCAAAAATAAATAAACTTAAAAAAAATATATATTATATGTATGTATACATGAAGGGCTCTTGTGAAAAAAAGGAAAGGTAAACAAAAGAAAAGTGGGCAAAGCCATATGAAAGTTAACAAAAGAAATAAATACAAATGGCTGCTAATTATATGGGGAAAATGCTCATCTCACTCCTAGATAGTGAACTGCATCTCACTTCAGTCTTTTCCCCCTAACAGAGAGGCAAAGACATAAGAGTTTGATAAAACCCACATTTGATAAAACTTGTGAGTGAACGTGGGGTGCAGGGGACCCCAGTGTTACTGGAAGTGTATATGGCTCCTAGAATAGAATGTACGCTCCAGGAAGGCAGGGTTTTCCTCTTTCATTCACTGGTTTATATCCACGGTACCTAAAATAATGCCTGGCACAAAGCAGGGTCTCAGTAAATATTTTGTTAAATAAAGAAATGGAAAAACAGGATAGCCTCTTTGGAGGGCATTTTGGGGGAATTTGTCAAAATTAGAATTGCACATACCTTTTGATTCAGTGGTTGTACTTGTAAGAATTGATTCTGCAAATATGTACGTTACGCATGAAAAATATCAGAGTGTTCTTTGTAGTATGTTTATAATTTTAAAAATTGCGGAAAATGTCCATCAATTGGAGATTGGTTAAGCTATACTAGAAAATACAGTACAGTAGAGAAAAGAATAAGGAAGCTCTTTATATCCTAAAATGGAGCCATCGCCAAGACACAAATTAAAAACGTCATGTGCAGAACAGCGTGTCACCATAATAATACGAAAGAAAGGAAAGAATACAGGTGCGTGCCTGTGCATGCGTGGAGCGTCTCTGGGAAGTAGGTCAGGTGGCCACAGTGTGGGGAGGAGAACTAAGGACTGAGGGATGAGAGACACTGAGCACCTTTCTGCTCTGCTTGAAATGTTTACCATGCATGTGCTGTTTGGTTAAAGAAAGAAGTGACCCTTCCTGCATGAAACTATCTACACCAGATAACAGCGTCCTTTTTATTCATTAACTGAGCTCTGTAGACACTGTCAGTGAACTTGTGATTTGTTTTTAGAGCACAGTCTACAGCCCCTGTGAGAAATCAGTCACCCAGCTGTTGTGAGATTTCCTTTCATGTCTAATTTCCTACATGCTTCTTCTTAATGTCACGTTTTTCCTTTCCAGATCAAAACTATAATAATGCCACGGCCCTTGTGATTACCTTTCCTGTCAATAATTACTATAATGATACAGAGAAGCTGCAGAGGGCCCAGGCCTGGGAAAAAGAGTGAGTTGCTGTCTTTGTCATGTGGGAAGTTGAGTGCTAACAGAATGCACTTAAACCACAGTTGGCTCAATTATAACCAACGTCAGGTCTAAATTAGTCATTTTTTTATTTGGTACTAATGATGTTAAGAAAAAAAAATTGGTGTATTTATACACATCGTTTGAATCAGTATCCCTGCACTGGAATGCAAACGTTTTATGCAGAAATGTTCCCTGCACCCCTTTCTCCTAGCAAACACCAGAAGCAAGCTGGATGTACATTTGTGGGGAACACACACAGTAGGAAATCATGCAATCATTAAAGATAGGCAAATAAGTGGTTCCAGATGTAGGACACAAAAGCTGCAATCAGCATGGTTAGGCAGATATATGCTTTCCATGCTGTCCATCCCTGGAAACAATATGAAGCAAGGGGCCGGGAAATTGTTGACTATTTGTAACCCCTACAGAATAGGAACAGAGAATGGGATTTTTGACTCTTTATGTTTTCCAGTGCCTTTTTTTTCCCTAACACCTTTGTTGGAATATAAATCCTATGCCATACATTTCACCCATTAAAAGTGTGTAATTCAGGAGCTTTTGGTGTATTCACAGATACCTGCAACTGTCACCACAGCGAATTTTAGAATCTTTTTTTAATCTCAAAAAGAAACCCCCATCTCCTTTAGCTGTCACCCCTACCCCCCCATCCCCAGCCTCTCACCTCCCAGCCCTGTGCAAACATTAATCTGTTTTCTGTCTCCATACATTTTTGTATTCTGGATTTTTACATGAAGGGAAGAATAGGTGGACTTCTGTGTCTGGATTCTGGCACTTAGCGTGTTTCTAAGGTTCATCCAAGTGGTAACATGGATCAGCACCTCATCCCTTTTTATGGCTGTGTACTGCTTTATCCTATGGATATGCCACATTTGTATCCACTTATCATTTGATGCACTTTTGGGTGGTTCCTACCTTTTTGGCCATTAGGAATAATGCTGCTGTAGACCTCCATATTCAAGTTTCATGTGAGCTTCTATGTTTTCATTTCTTTTGGATGTACACCCCAGAGTAGAATTGCTGGGTCATAATGGTGATTCTTTGAAGAACTGCCAGACTGCTTTCCATGGTGGCTGCACCATTTTACATTCTACCAGCAGTGTGAGTTCTAATTTCCCCATGTCCTCGCCAATATTTGTTATCTGACCTTTTGAGTCTAGCCGTCTTTGTGGGTGTGAAGTGGTATCTCATTGTAGTTTTGATTTGTATTTCCCTGAAGGCTAATGATTTCAAGCATCTTTTTTGGTGCTTATTGGCCATTTGTATAACTTCCTTCAAGAAATGTCTATTCCTGTCTTTTGCCCATTTTTAACTGGATTATTTGTATTTTTATTATTAAATTGTAAGAATTCTTATGTATTCTACAAGCCTGCTATCAGCTCTATGATTTCTGGGTATTTGCTCCCAGTCTTTGGCTTGTTTTTTTTTTGTTTGTTTTGTTTTGTTTTCTTGATGGTGTCTACTGAAGCACAAGTGTTTAGTTTTGAAGTCTAGTTTTTCTAGTTTTTTGTTGTTCATACTCTCAGTGTCCTATCTGAGAAACCATTGCCCAATCCAAGGACATGGAGATTTATGCCTGGTTTGTTTGTTTATGTGTATTTATAATTTTTGAGAAAGAGAGAGAGACAGTGCAAGCAGGTAAGGGGCAGAGAGAGAGGGAGACACAGAATTGGAAGCAGTCTCCAGGCTCTGAACTATCAGCACAGAGCCCGATGTGGGGCTCAAACTCATGGACTGTGAGATCATGACTTGAGCTGAGGTTGGATGCTTAACAGACTGAGCCTCCCAGGTGCCCCTGGAGTTTTATATTTTTAGCTCTCACCTTTAGTTCTTTGATCCATTTGAGTTAATTTTCTTTATGTAACATGAGGGGAGAGTTTAATTTCATTCTTTTTTTGCATGTTGCTATCCAGTCATCCCAGACCATTTGTTGAATAGATTATTCTTTCTCTCATTGGATAGTCTTACCATCTTGTCAATATTAGGTGACCACAGATACCTGGTTTATTTCTGGACTCTGAGTTGTATGCCTCGGATCTTGAATTGTTATGTCTGTCCTTATGCTGACACCACACTGTCTTGACTACTGTTGTTTTGTAGAAAAGTGTGAAATCGAGAAGTGTATGTCCTCCACCTCTGTCCTTCTTTGAAAAACAAGGGGTTGCCTCTTCTGGGCACTTTGCAAATCCGTGTGAATTTTAGAATCAGCTTATCAGCTGAGGCTCATAGGGATTGCATTGAATCTGTAAATCAGCTTTTAAAAGTTTGTTCCACGAGCATATGTCTTTATCATAATATACTTTATGTAGAAATCTTTTTTAGTGAAAAAGAGACCATGAACCACCTTTTTAATTTTTTAACGGAACACTTCATGAATTTGCTTATCAGCTTTGCTCAGGGCCCATGTTGATCTTTTCTGGTTCATTCCAGTTTTAGTATATGTGGTGCCAAAGCCAAACCCTGTGAACCAACTTTTAAACTTGTTCTAAACGATTCAAGTGGTAGAAACTTCAGCATGTCTGGAATTTTGTACTCTGGGGTGTCTCACCTTCTAGTCTCCAGTGTAGAAAATTCTGATGTGGACACAGGTTAAGTAAACATGATTTTTGTGTCATAGAAGTTGGGAAGAAGTTTCTCACTTAGCTGTCACTGAGCTTTAACTAAAAATATAAAATTTGCTCACTCTTTAGGTTTATTAATTTTGTGAAAAACTACGAGAATCCAAATCTGACCATTTCTTTCACTACCGAGCGAAGTATTGAAGACGAACTAAATCGTGAAAGTAACGGTGACATTTTCACTGTTATAATCAGCTATGCCATCATGTTTCTGTACATTTCCATAGCCTTGGGGCACATCAAAAGCTGTAGCAGGCTTCTAGTAAGTGATGTGTGTGTGTGTCTTTGTTGGAAAGAAATGGCAGTGCATAGCATGATGTCTTATTTTTGCCTCTACTTAATCATAATTTATTTTGTTCAAAACTATTGTACATTCCCCTGTGTTTTAATTGTATGTAACATTTTTGTTTCCTGCATCTGTTTTCTCCAGTTCCAAGCCTTCGGTTTATTTTAAACTTACAATGTATTTCCCACAATCCAGTTTTTTCTAATTTGTCCATGCCATCAGCTAAGAATGGTCGCCCGTAAAACATGTTGTTAGGGAAGACCTAGAATATTTCTCATTTCTTCTCTCGAACTCAGGACTTTTAACTCCAAATCAGTTATACCCAAAAAGAGGTAAAACGTGAGGACCTTTTGGTCCTAAGACAAATGGTACTCTGACAGTTTGTGTCTTTGTCGCATGTCTCAGGTGGACTCTAAAATCTCCCTCGGCATCGCGGGGATCCTCATTGTGCTGAGCTCGGTGGCGTGCTCATTGGGCATCTTCAGCTACATTGGGATCCCCCTCACCCTCATTGTGATCGAAGTCATCCCATTCCTGGTGCTGGCTGTTGGGGTGGACAACATCTTCATTCTGGTCCAGGCCTACCAGGTATGTTTTCAGAGTCTCACAGAGCTGGGCATCTGACCAAGAACTGGGCTCCGTTCGTGGCTCTCCAGTTACATGCGGAGTATTTGCGAGGGTAGACGACAAGGAGGCTTTGTTTCCTTTTCTCTGTGTTGCCGATTGGTGTCCATATCTTGTTTGGGGCATTTCAAGACCAAGATGTTCACCCTTCTCTTTGGTTGGTGAAATAGATACAAAATGAAAATTCATGTTTTAAGTACGTATGTAAAAAAGGGCTCTCATGCTTGTGGAGAGTATTTTGGACGTGACTGTTATTAAAATCTCCAATAGTGTAAAAGAATCAAAGATTTGTCAGAAATGCCCGCTGATGGAGAAAATGGTCTCAGTCCATTTATTCTGTCCCAGTCCCCTTACTTGAAGACTCAGTGGCATGTAAGATTGTCGGGAATGGTCCAGCCACCTGCAGCCTACATTCCATGTGTTTTCTTGATAAGATGCTAAGTCTCTCCTTGAGCTTCTCACCTGTTACCTAGTGCAGGGGTTTAGTAATACCCAGATGAATTATCATGACAAGTTGTGGGTCTCCCATAAAATTTTATGTACAATAAATAGAAGCTACTAGGGGCGCCGGGGTGGCTCAGTCGATTAAGTGTCCAACTTCAGCTCAGGTCATGATCTTGCAGTTTGTGAGTTCAAGCCCCGTGTCAGGCTCTGTATTAACAGCTCAGAGCCTGGAGCCTGTTTCAGATTCTGTGTCTCCTCTCTCAGTCCCTCCCCCACCCACCCCTGTCTGTGTCTCTCTTTCAAAAAATAAATAAACATTAAAAAAAAAAAAAAACTACTAATCATTCTTCTTTACCAGGAGTTAAAGCAGCAAAGAGGTGGTGGTGTTATTTAGAAATTTTAACGGCCCTTATTTTGTTTTGTGTGTGTGTGTGTGTGTTTTTTTTTAAGCGAGATGAACATCTTCAAGGAGAGACTCTGGATCAGCAGCTGGGCAGGGTCCTAGGAGAAGTGGCTCCTAGTATGTTCCTGTCCTCCTTTTCAGAGGCAGTGGCATTTTTCTTAGGTAATCACTCTCTGAATTCTACCAGTCCTACAGTTTTCTGAGCCTGGGAGTAGAAGGATCTGGGCTGCTTGCTTGCTTGGGCTTTATTCTGTAACCAGAAAGCAGCAGAGCAGGCCACGGGGAAAACTGCTGGCCGTATCTGGGGTGTCGTTCTGGAAGTGTCCTCTTGCCCCTGGTGTTTCAGGACAGTGTTGATGTTGGGGTCTGGGGTGACAGGTACCTGGAACTCCTCTGCTGCTCCCCCTTTTTGGCACCTGTGGCCAATGTTGATCTGTGAAAAGGGCATTCTCACAGAGCCACACGGCACTCCAGAGTCCATGGCCGGTGGCCTGCAGCGTTCCCCCAGACAGCCTTCCACCTCTGTGCCCACAGAGCACTGGGGCACACGGGTGCACGGGCCGCTCCCCACTGTAGGCCAACAAGCTGCAGCAAAAGCCAGCGCTTTCAGGTTTCTTTCCTATGAAGAAGTCACCAGCCAGCCTTACTGGCAGGGCCACCTGCCCCTGTCTCTGCTGTGCAGTGACAGTAGGAAGAGAAAACTGAGCGCATCTCTGAGCAGGAGGCTGGGTTAGAATTGCCCCACGAGTCCAGAGAGAGATACGATTTGTAGGTCACAAATGGAAACGCCTCCTTGGGCTACAGGGTCACCGTACATGGGGCTGTTTGTTGGAGGGTCACTGAAGGTAGCCGTCTTTCAAGTCAGACACGCTAGTAGGCTGTTTTTCACTCCCACAAAGCAACGCACTTTGCCTCCTGCGGCCCTTATACTTCCTCTTGACGGATATAGGTGCAACGGTAGTTATTTGCTCTTCTTCCCCTTTTTTCAGCAAATCAGCTCAAGTGCGATGATAATAGACACTGTGCCTCAAGGCTGGAGTGACTTTGGGGGACAGTAGGAGCAGTGGGGTTGTGGCACGCAGAGGGCACAGGTCTAAAACAGGCAGTTACATGTTGCTGGCCCAGTGGCGCTGGGTCCAGTTTTCTTTTTCTTTTTTTTTTTTAAAGCAAAGCTGTGAATCTAGATTTTTGTGTAAGACCTCATTGTTAAATGCTGGCTATTCATATTTGTTAAATGCGGCTTTTCATCCTAAGATGGATTGGGCCACATGAGATACTGTGGATGCCAGTTTGAGTTCCTGGGTGTTAAGCTAGTACTTCTGACTTGTTGCGCCCTCAGTTGATTGTGACAGAAGTGGGAGACTAGCACTGTTGATGTAATAGCAGAGAGAAATACTGCTCTCTCTAGATCAAAGCATCAAAGGTACCGTAAGAAACGACCCATATTGGTGGTTCCGAAAGTTTAATGTGCATAGCTTTGCCCGGAGAGCCTCTCAAATAACAATCAAATTGGGTATCAATTCCCACTGTCCCCATTAAGTAGGATAGGGTTAGAGCATAGGAGCCCACATTTAACTCCCCAAGTGACTCCCCAAGTGAACACTGGGCTTACGGACTCGTTTCCAGTTCTGGTGTGACATCCACAGACTCGGGTGGCGGCGTGGGGGGCAAGGGTCTTCTCATGGCTGCAGCCTGCTGTCCCCTGACGCTGCCAGGCCCACAGGAGTGGAAGACTGCGTAGTCCTGTGCTGCGGGGCAGTGACGTGGCAGCTTCTGTCCCCTGCAGGAGCACTCTCAAAGATGCCAGCCGTCCACACCTTCTCTCTGTTTGCCGGGATGGCAGTCCTCATCGACTTCCTTCTTCAGATTACCTGTTTTGTGAGTCTCTTGGGGTTAGACATTAAGCGGCAAGAGGTAAGTTGTTAACAGGATTACAGTCTCCTAATTAGGGTCTAGAATGCGAGTGAAGCAGTGGGAGGGTGTGACCTTTGTTCCTCTTTGTCCTCTCAGAAGAACCGTCTGGATGTTCTTTGCTGTGTCAGAGGCTCTGAAGATGGAACTAGTGTGCAGGCTTCTGAGAGCTGCTTGTTTCGGCTCTTCAAGCACTCTTACTCTCCACTTCTGCTTAAGGACTGGATGAGACCAATTGTGGTAGGAGTTTGTCTGTGGTTTTCCTTCCCAAAATAGGTCTGTCATGCATTCTAAGAAACTGGTTTGCAGGGCTCCTGGGTGGCTCAGTTGATTAAGTGTCCAACCCTTGATCTGCATTCCAGTCATGATCTCATAGTTTATAAGACCAAGCCTTGAGTTGGACTCTGTGCTGACAGTATAGAGCCTGCTTGGGATTCTCTCTCTCCTTCTCTCTCTGCCTCTCCCCCCACTCTCTCTTTCTCAAAATAAATAAATAAATTTAAAAAGAAGAAGAAATCTGCTTGGCAAGGGAATTCCAACAGCTGCTAAGTATATTTGCAAAAGCAAATATATACAAATATATAAAATGTTTTTCTAGCTAGCTTTTAGCAGTCAACAAAAGCAAGTTTTTATTTTGATCTAATTATACATTCATAGAAAATTGCAAAGAGAGTACAGAGAAGGCCCAGTTTCTTCCTGTGGGTCTTACATAATTGCAGTTCAATGTCAAAACCAGGAATCTGATGTTGGTACAGTGTGTGCGTCTAGTTCTCAGTCATTTTATCACACGTGCAGATTCATAGAACCACTGCTACAGTCGACATATAGAAGTGCTCTGTCACAACACTCTCCCTTGTGCTCCCCTTCTAGGGTCACACACACCCCTCCCCACACCACCCACTGTCCCTAGTCCCCAGGAACCCCGCAAGAGCTTTTTGTCGTTTATGTACTAGATGTAGCCGACAGTGATCATCTCTCACTTCTCTACTCAAAGCACAAAAGTTAGTTTCCAATAATGGTAAAGTAACACTTAACATTTATCGAACACTTCATATTGGGCACTTGCTAAAAATCTAGATTACCCCCTGATTTTCTGTTCTTACTTTCTAATACGGTAAGCAGTCACTGCCTTATAACTCACTTTTCATTCCAGGTAGCAGTATTCGTGGGT